AGGGGCGTCTCTCCACGGAGTACTGAGGCTGCTTTTGTTGATGATCCAGGACAGTCTGGAGAGAATTTGGACTCTTTTTTTTTTCTTCTGGCACCTTTTTTCACTCTACTCACAAGGCCAATTTGGATCAGTTAGTCAATTCAGTTTGTGAGGTTCGGGGACTTTCTCCGGTTGCCGTTGAATCTACTCCTTCCTTGATGGCTGAATGGTTCAGGGTACCTATTTAGTTTTCCTCCTTCATCTGATATTGCTGTTTATGCTGGGAGATTTACTGCTCTATTATGTAATGGGATAGATATACTTTGTCCCTCTCATTTGTCTAAATAGCAGGCTTTGGCTTACCACCGCTAGGTGGATGTATGTTCCACAGACAAGATCCTCTTTTGAATATGTGTGGTTCCAAACTGGACCCTGTGATCACTTTGAACAGATCACAATTTCTCGAACTCGTTTGACCCTCACTCCTATTCTGAGATTTCTTCTCCACCCTCCACAACAATTTTGTCAGAAGCCTATCAGTGATCTCCACATCAATTTTAGGATGACTTGGGTCTTTTGCTGACTTCTACTCTGGTAAGATTGTCAGCTTCTGCTCTGTCTTTAGTTTCCTAGCTTGCATGTTGTTTGGATTTATTGTATATAGATGCCTTGTTAGAAGGAGTTTGTCTACCTGCTGTAGCCCTGAATGAGTTATGTTAGGCTGCCTTTTTTCATCTCTTGGTATTTGCAGGTGCCCTAGAAGCATCAGAATCATGAATTGATGTCACCCATTTGCTTTTTTTCCTTCTTGTTGTTGGCCTCTATACTTTCTTTGGCTCCTGTTGGAAGTCATGGCATGACTGCTTGTCCCAACACCCAGCTTCTGTTCCTCACTCAGTGGATACTCTGAATAGATTCTATCCTTAGTTTCAAGACTCCTCCACTCTGGCAAACTGTCACCAACAGCATCGAGAGGGTGGGGGGAGTGAGTTACAACAATTGAAGAACACCTGGAATTCCTTCACCACAGATCCATGAGTACTTCAGGTTCCGGCATCTGGGTTGGTTATTCTGTTAACTGCTCCACCTTCATTATCCTTCCAACCTGTGGTATTTTCACCCTCACAGATCTGTGGAGTATGGATCTTCATTCCAAGGCTATCAGAGAGTTATTGGTAAAGGAAGTGGTAGAGTCGATCCTGTTCTTCCGGGATTTTATTCCCAATAATTTTTTGTACCCAAGAAGATGGGAGATTGTGGCCGATCATTGGTTTTTCTCATCTCAACCAGTTCTTAGATCCTCCCAGGTTCACAGTGGAGTCTTTTTTTCAATCTAAGTTGGCATTCTTCACCAGGTCTGTTGATGACCATCTTCGATATTGCTGATGCATATCTCCACATTCTCATAGCACAGTCATACTGCCACTATCTACGTTTCAGGTTCTGCAATACAAGGATCTGATTTTTGGCCTAGCATCTGCACCTTATGTCTTCTGCAGAGTCATATGAGTTTTTCTCTTCACCATCATACTTTGGGCCTATGCACACTCCATTATATGGACAACTGGTTACTTCTGGCACCATCTTGTTAGTTGGCAGAACAACACACCCAGATTCTCCTTTCAGAAGCCACCAAGGCTGGCTTTCTTATCAGAGATGAGAAATCCATTCTCTTGCTGAATTACAATATTGTCCATCTGGGTATCTTTTTCAAAATGTTTTAATCCGGGCTCAGCCAAGTCCCATCTGGCTCCAGGCTATGGAACAGGTCATCAGGCTCTTACTTTCGTCAATGGTTCTATCTCTTTTGTGGATTTGGGCATCCCTTGAATCTCTGATTCCTTTAAGATGAACACACTTACTTTCTTGTTGTGATTCCGGTGGTTTTGAACACATCACTCTATGTCTATAGGTTGGAATCCAATCTAAAGTATATCTATATATAACATTGTGGTCCAGTTGCCCTAGCCACCAATGTGGGATATAGGAACCGAGACCCCTTAATTCCAACCCCGAGTTGTGGAACCTCAGCTATCTGGTTGGGGCTGGCATATGATGATTATTACTCATGTACTATTCCACCCTTGATATAGGAACTAAGTTCTGGGTGTGGAGCATACCTGTCGTGGATGTAGTGTGGTTCCCCCACTCGGGTACCACTCTTATCTTGGTACACCCCTCATCTATGCAGATGCTTTCAGTATGGATAATGCCCGCACCGGCCCCTCCACCTTCTCAATGTGGGATTCTAGCTATAAGTGTCAGCGGATGATAAGTACGTTTTGGAAATTAACATTTTCCTAAATTGAAAATGTATTTCCAATAATACTTACCTCTACTGACACTCCTGCTCTTCCTCCTCAGTAAGAGCCAGTATTAGAGACTGGGATGGTGTTAGTCTTGAAAAAGTGATAAAATTATCTGAATGAGGTGCTTATATACAGTACCAAGATAGAAGGTGCATTGATGTAGGTGGAGAGTATATCACCAAAGGCAACTGGTGGGGTATAAAAGACTGTAGCAAGTGAGAAAAAATCAGATGGGCAAAGTTTAAACCCTGGAGGTCAAGGAATAGCTATAAGTGTTAGTGGAAGTAAGTATTATTGGAAATACATTTTCAATTTTGGAAAATGTTAACTTTCATGTGGTTCTCTTGGCTGTTTAATAAGTTTCATGTGTTCTGTTGTCTGTTTAATAAGTTTTCATGTGTTCTGTTGTCTGTTTTATAAGTTTTTATGTTATTCTATAACCAATAAAATGTTATATTCTCTGACGGTCAGAATTAAAGAACAATTAGCAGATAAAACTTCTAAGAATAGATTATAGGAAATAAAGAAGCTGACTTGGAATCTTCAAAGTTATTTATTGTACTACTACATAGAAAACATTTATAATTGTTTACTTAAGGTAAGGGTGTGGTGACCAAATATTAATTGTTACCTGTATGATCACTGTTAGTATACACCAAACCACTGAAAGACCCAATGGAGAGTAAAACAACCACTTACAACAGACATCCCTTATGAAGGTAGACTCCAATACATTGGAAAAACAAAAAGATCAACAGAAGTCAAAGCTGATGATCATAATAGATATACAAGACTGTAATAATGATCTGTCTGCAATATCCCATTAGAAAAGAAGTTCATATTATAAGTTGGAATAATAATAAAAGAATGGGATATGAACCACTCATAAGAAAAATAAAAACCTTCTACATACACCTGACTTATAACATAAACCTAACTTAACCTAACATAAAAGTGGCCAAAACCTGGATACCCCACATGAAAGCATTAAAATTAGTTACTTGGTTCATGTCCTAATGGTGAAGACCCTGGATAAATGAATAACACACCGACCTCTTGGTCAAAAGAACCAGAATCAAACCCCACTCAGTACCACCACAGCAGAGCTCTTCTCGAGACTTCCCTGAAGATGACAGTAGGTTACAGCTGAAACATAGGATAAAAGCTAGTTACTAATTAGTATCCAGTAATATATATAATATTAATAACAAGTTAATAATGAGAGTTAGGTTATCTTACAGGCTACTATCTAATAAAGTGATTTACACTTGAACTTCAATATAAATTTACAGAAAAAGCCTTTATCCAAATATTTCTATCACTCAGAATTTGAGTTCCTTAGTTCACAGATTTTATACAAAATTCACTAATGGCAATAATTATGTTTCTATGACACTGTTTTTTTCCAGTATTTGATTAGTTCTCTCTCTCTCTCTCTATTGATACTTTAATATGATGAAAGCTGATGACTCAATATTTAAGTTTTTACTTTTTTCACTTCCCTTTGATATTTAAATCTTGTGTTTACTTACATTTATTGTGGATATTATTTGAAGTATTAGTATTTCATTTAATTTTATTTTTATTGTATATAGATATTTTTGCAAAGATGGTGCAAGTGAAGATTATTATGTGAAATAATTGCAATACTTTAGATGCGTGAAGTTTTGTGAATTAACGGGTTCACTTCCTCTCTGTGCCTCTATGTACATTTGGAAGGAAATTTTGTATAATGTGAAACAAATGTGAGTGTGTGTATAACTACAATTTGCACTTCAGAATAACCCATTATTTGCATTTTTCTCACTTCCAGAAGATTCAGCATCCATTCCTAGCTATGGAGATGAAATGGAAAACGCTGCAGCTGCCCTAGCCATGACCCAAAAGATATCGGGCTGGGCCAACTCTTCAGGAGGAAAGACACACACTAAAGAACAAAAAATAACAGAACCTCGCACTCGCAGTGATACCATGACCATGAGTGCAGGTTATCATAAAACTGGTTAAAATGTTCTTGCATTTGAAAAAGATGTTGTTAAAAATACTTTTAAAAAGTTTACATAAAAAATATGGATGTGATTATAAGATAGATGTATATACAAAAAAGTATTTCAATTTTTAGATTAGAAGATCAGGTTCATGGTTGATATTGATCATTTAAGTTGTCTAGAAGATTAGGCTCATAGTTTATTGATCAACTCATGATTTCATTAAATGAAAATAAAAGTTGAATTTAACTTGCAAGATACAGAAGTAATTTGCCACTTGACTCATGTTTTTTGAGTACATTATGTGTGACAGTATATATACTATGATTTCCTAAGACAATATGTTAAAAGCTTCTAAAAATGACCTACTATGTTCAGTGATTTAATGAATATGTTAACAGCTTCTCAAAAATAACCTACTGTGCTCAGTTATTATATGATTATGCTAATGGCTTCACAGAAATGACCTACTGTGTTTAGTGATTTTATAAGTATGTGAACTTCTCAGAAATGACTCAGTGTTCATTGACTGTATGATTTCATTGAGAACAAGTAAGGTTACTTGCAGTTTCTTTAACAACAAAAACTAGTTAACTGTTCTTTCCTGAAAATGTGACACTAGGCATTCTAAGCAACAGCAGTGCTATAATTATGTTCATATAAGCATGGATAACATACTTGGTTTCCATTCTAAATGTGTAAATGGAACTGTCTTCAATAAATTACAGTATGTTATACTCAGAAATTGGAAATAAAGCATGGTACTTGTAAATCCCCCCATCCCCTGCTTAAGCATGTGAACTGGCTCTGCAATAGTACTTATTGAAAAAGCCAACCTGAATATGGCAATTTACACTGGTAGTAGAGAAATGAATTACCTTGACTTATTAATATGATCAAAAGTGTGCACCAGTAGGAATAAGTATTTAAAGTATAGTACAGTATACACTCCCACTGATATGCATGTGTCTTCAAGATTCCTTTCTTGAAAGTGTGCAAATGGAAATGCTTCTAGTATTATAACAATTTAAATATAGAGTGAAAGTATGAAAGTCAAAATCATGAACAACTTCACTTCAAAATTACATGTAAAGTTTGTTAGTTTGTTATTCAGTAAATGCTTGGGGTTTTATAACCTGCTCATGGAGTTGAGTTGATTACTGGATGACAATTTCATCCTGTACTGTGATTGGAATGTTATTAATATAAAATTTTCTAATTCTTGGAATTCCCTAATGGAATACGTATAGAATACAGAGTTAAAAATACAATAGGCCTAATTCTGATGTCTAATGACATATCCATTGATAATCATGCTTTGCCACCTTGAAAAAGGTGTTAACAACATAATTAAAATATAACTTGTTTCTTTTTTGAAACTAGTTATTTTTCTGTTATGGAACTAAATCAGGCATAAATAGGTAATGAAGTTAATTTCTGTAAAATCTGTTATTGATATTCGACAGGAAAACAAACATGGATCCTGACAAATTATTTTTGTACATTATTATACTTATGGGATTAAAAAATTACTGGTAAGAACATTTGTAAAATAAAATATTATGGAGATAAAAATGCCCTCTTGAATAATTTTCAGTCGTACTTCATATTCAGACATTGTACAGTTGTCATTTCATTAGTTAAATTGTGCAAAACTAAATAAATTCTACACATATTATAATTCACATTTTCTGCTGTGAAAAATGTAAATGTACATATTATTGAAGCGTACAAGCAACTTGTTATGAGGTATTCAGAAACATTGAAGTTTTCATCAAAAAGTACAAATGACAGAAATGTTCACACAAATTTGACCATTTTAGGGATGCATCAGCTTTACTGTATAAAGCAATAATGTGCAAATTTATCTTGTAATAAGCAAGTGAAGTACACATAGTAACAGTAAAGTTTTTTTTTCTTTAAAAACACCTATATTGGAAAAGCATTACAATAAGTTGTGGAAATATTTACATTTTGTTTTCATTTGTAGATGAACTACGTGAGGCTTTGTTGACAGTCCTTCAAAGGAAAACAGAAGCTGAAGAACAAATTAGGTAAATGTAGCTAATTGTTTTAATGTTATTTTACATTAATGTATAATTATTGCTGTGAGATGTATAAATTAAGTAAATTTTAAAACATTCTTTTGGCAGTGAGAGGGAGGGAAAGATTCAGAGATTATTTAGAAAAATTATATTTAAAATTGAGCAAGTCTCAAAGAAGGTATTTCAAATGTATTCTAGTGTAGTTGGTCTTATAAAATATTTTCTCAAGCAACTTAGTAAATTTTCATAAATAAACCTTGGTCATGAAATGACCAAAAACTTGTTTCAAAAAGATATCCAGTAAGTATATCAAGAAATCAAATATTGAAATAAGTACTAATTGTTTGTTAAATTATGAAAATTAGACTTATTTCAAAATTAATAAATTGGTTTAACAGAAGAAGATACAAAAACTTAACTCAAGTAATCTTTAGGAGAATTACTTGTACTTTTACTCCACTACCTTACATTTTATACATTACTGTTCTCAACACACACAAATTTATGGCAGACAATCAGTCAGTCAATTGCATTCATTGCTTACATAAGCAGGTTTGCTATCCCCCTAGTGGCTGGCCAAGTCACAAGCATCACTCTTTTCCCGTGGTAGCGGATGTCCAACTCCGACATCATTTCTCTTGAAGATAATGGCAATCCTTGGCCATATCATCATAAACTGTTCAAGTTTAAACACATTTTGCATAATTCCGTGTCCCTATAATGTATGCTGTGTTTTGTTTCTAGGCCTCATGGCCTGAAACATACATGTAGGGTTGAGAGAACTGCGGATGAGTGTACTTCTGTTACTTGAGTACTTATTCAGTAGATACCTTTTTTTACTCTAACTTAAGTAAATTTCAGCATGGATACTTGTACTTGTACTTAGTAACTTTTTGACAAAATACTTTTACTTGAACTTGAGTTACATATTTTAGTACTTTTTACACCCCTGTTGTCAAGGGAGTACTAAGATAAAACTGAAGAAGTAAAATTGAAAATACTGTAGTCACAAGTGAGAATTTCTGGTTGAAGTTCACTGAAATGAATACCTATGAATAGCAATAAGGAATTTTTCTCAATACCTTCTTCCCACAGGCAAGTTGAATTGGTCAAGGCAACAAATAAGAAATTCTTGAGTGGCCATCTAATATAATAAAGATTATCTTAGTAACAAAAAATTAAATATTAAGGTACTTCATCAGGGTGGTTAAATAATACCAACCAAAATTACATTAAATAATAAATTGTAAAGGTAGCACTTACAAAACAGCAAATTATCCATTGATCCTCACATTCTAATGCATTTAAAACAACTTTTAGCCCAATATTTACCAACAATTATTTTCATGATTTTTTTTTGTAAAGTAAGAATTTTTCATATAATTTATAAATTTATTCAGCGTTTTCAGAAAACTAAAATTTTTCTACAGTTATGAAACAAATTGATTTATTGAGACTAGAAGCTGCTGTTGGGAATAATTTTTTTTTTTTATTAATTTCTGTCTTGTCTGTCAGCTGATGGTTATTCTGAGTTATGGAAGATTTTTTTCCAATGGTTTTTGAATAAGCAGTTTTGTAAGTTCATGTACATAATATGTAATTGCCAATCAATAGATCTGTTTGTATTACAGGATGTATGCAGTGAAAGTTCATTCAAATTTTGTGTACATTTGTGGAACAAAATAGCACAGTTCTTTTTGTGCTTTGAATGTAGAGGCTTGATATGAAATACAAAATTAACATAACATGGTAGTATAGTCAAACAAAATTACATTGGTTGAGAGTACAGATAACAATTTTGTTTACAATTTTTGCCTAATCAAAATTCAGAAAAAAGAAATGCACCTGTGTTTCTCTCAGTAATTTGTGTATTCTTCAGCTCTCTTCGATCTCTACTGCACCAAGAGATGGAGTTGAATGCAGGATTGCGAGCAGAAATAAAGGATGTGAAAAAAGATCAAGAAGAAAAAAATGAAAAAATTGAAGCTAAATTTCAGACAGTAACAAGGTAAAAACCATACCAATTATTTTTTTAATCTAGACTTTTCCTAAAATATGTATTGTTGTTTAGCCAGAAGGAAGTTTAACATAACATGATGGGCATTACTTTAATGTCTGAAAGTTTAGAGAAAGTTTGAACAAAATATTAGCCCTCTCATCACGGGCAGGTCAAAGTGCACATCTCGCGACTTTTTATAATGCTACATTCAAAGCTTAATTAAAGTACTTTCTTACCAAAGTATACTAATAACCTTGCATCAAAATGTAGTTACATAATGAAATGTTAACATTATATAAGTTCTTAATTTTATAAGGAAATACTTTATAAAATCCGTAATCTCCACTAGTTTGAGAATTGTGACATTTACTCTCTAAGTCTTCCCTCTTCCCTAATTTATTTACCATTCCTCCAAGAAGTAGAGAACTTAACATAAATTATACATTATAATTAAGTTATTACTCTGGCAAAGCATAATTTTTATAGCCTTCAATTGTATTGGTCTACAGAGCCGTAAATTAGAAAATCAGACCACTTGTCACATCTTCTCTTTAACAAATTGTCCTTAATTCTCTCTGATGTTTTTAATACCATATTATTTATAACCAACAGATAGCCAAAGTCTTAATCTATCAAATGATGTTTTATATTACATTGTTTTCTGTACAGAGAATTGTCTATTTCATTTCCAGTTCAAACTTTATTCCAACAGGAAACACACTGAAAGGCTTAGCTGAATTTTTAATAGCTCTTATTACATAGATAGAAAGTCATACAATTTGTAATAGTTACAGGACATTGTCTGCTTTTTACATGTTATTATTCCATGTTTTAGGTGCATTACTTAATTAAATAAAAAAATTATTTAGTGTAGTAGTAACACGAGTATAAAAAAAGTAGGGTTACATTTCATCAACCGTCAACAGCAAAAAAAAAGAGATGATGACTGAGTTTGTGACCTCAAAGTAACCATAATAGTTTCCATACTGTAACTTTAATGTTTGTTATTTTCACAAAATTTCGCAAGTTTTCAGTAAACCTTACCAGTTTTTTGCAGACAAAAAATCAGGTTTTTTTAATGAAGGATTTTTACTAAACATTTCCCTATAAATATATGGAGCCAAAGTGTTGACTGCTCCGAGTGCAAAGTGTTTTTCATGATAATATTAAAAATACATATTCTTCCTTTGAAAATTCTCAAATTCTGATATGGTACTTACCTCTATTCACAAGATTAGCTATTTCCGTTCAGTGCTGCCCTCTATATGCAAACTTTTTTTTTTACGCATGCCATAAGCCTTTTGCTCCTCCCCTATTGGAATTGCAAGATTCCAACACATCTCTCATGCAAATCATCATGTGTCACCTCCTCACGAATATGAGCATGACATGCTCACATGATGCATGTGACTCACTCTACACTGCCCTACCAAACTATCACTTCTTGTTAGGTAGCGCTTGTGTTCAGACGTGCTTTTTTTGTTGGTTTAATGCTTCATGTTTGACTTTATATCCTCATGAAGTGGTTGTTTTTAAATTAATTTGCTTTCATTCAGCCTGTTTCTTCTATTAGTATTTATCAGTTAATTTTAGTTGCCTTATTTTCTGCACTCGAATTTGGTAAACCTTTCTGTGCAATGAATTCTGAAGTTAACATTACCACTTCAGGGGTTACACCAGTAACCAGTATTTTTCTTCTGAGGTCTTGTGTGTGGGCGACCCGATGGTGGATTTATCTGTTTTATACCCCTGGAGATCGAACGTTACATGGGACAACCTTTGTCCCCAGACATCACCCACTCTCCTCCAAAACAGGCTGATATTGTGCAGGCTGAAAAAGACTTCGATTGTCTTTTTCCATCTCCAGATTTTGCCATTCCTTCTCATTCCTAACCTGATGAGTCCACTAAGCCTAATACAGACTTTATGGATTTGTGTCTCAGGTTTGTGATGTTTTATCCCTTTCTTATGAACCTCGTCCTTCCTTACTGCATGAACAGTTTTCTCCTCCCCTTTTTGGTTTTTCCTCCCTTAACTGATATTATGGTTCACACCAATTACTTTGCCTGCAATTAAGTGAGGGGATTAACATAATGTGCCCCCCCAAACTTCAGAGCAATTCACACTTTCCTACCATTGTGCTGAATCTCCATTTTTAGTCCAGCAGTTATTAGGTTCCTTATTGCTTATTTGAGTTGCAGTCTTACCCATGCCCAAATGGTTGTGGATGACCAAAATGAATGTCTCCAATGCTTACTTACATATACCTGTATCACCTCAGCCTCATCCTTATCTTCAGTTTGTACATCACAGGGTGGTTTATTAATTTTGGGCTCTCCCCTTCAGACTTGCCTCAGCAACTCACATAATTTGCTGAGTAATCTGAACTTTTGCTCTACGTCTCCATGCTCTGTGGCTGCAATTTCGTTATTACATGTATGACTGACTCATTCTGAACAGGAATCAGCAATCATACTCGGCAGTTCCTTTCTGTGGCAGCTTGGGTAAGCTGGTTGATCACAACACTCATATTAGTTGTGCCCAGCCTTCTCCTTTACGACTTTGTTCAATGAAACTGTTGGTTTGTCATGTCCTCCCAGTTCAGTCACTTACTGCCCATATGAGATCCCTTCAGTGGGCACTTCACAATTGATGGAACCTTGCTCGGGATCCTCTTTCCACTCCCATTACCCTTCCTTTTTTCCCTGCAAGATGATCTACTTTTGTGGTTAGACAAAGCCTATACATCAGCAGGCTTGCCACTTCCTTCTCTGTGTTTGGATATACATCTTTTCATGGACACATCCATTCAGGGATGGGGGCATGGGTCAATCACCAGGAGGCTTTGGGCCTTTGGTCTGGGGACAAAAGTACTTTGCACATCAATGTTCTTATTGCATCACTTCCTTCTTCTCACCCAACATGGTGATGGTTCATTCAGACAATTCTATAGTGGTGGCATGTATCAACCACCAAGGAGGCACCCAGTCCAGAGTTCTCTGTTTTCAGATGTTGAATCTCTTATACTGGGCCCACAAACATCACATTGATCTTATTGCATGTAATGTACTGGGTGCTTTCAATCATGGATCATCTTTCTTGTCCTGACTGGATATATCCCACAGAGTGGTCATTAGATCCTCTTGTTTTCAGGGATCTTTGTCATCAGTTGGTTCACCCCACATGGATGCCTTGGCTACAAATTTCAACAAGTTACCTCTCTTTTGGTCACCTGTACCCCATCCCCAGGCTTTGGCAGTCAATGCTTTCAGCCAGGATTGGTCACACAAGTATCTTTATGTGTACCCATCCATCCCATTACTTTAGTGGGTGAGTTCATCCATTCCACTCCTTGTCAGGTTCTCCTGATTGCTCCTTATTGGATAGCTCAGCCTAGGATTCCATGGTTACAGTGACTGCTCCTGTTCCTCTTCCACTTTCTCTTTACCTTCTTCGTCAACTTCGGTCACATATACTACATTCCACTCTGGCTTTTGTCTGGTCCTTGGTGAGAATATCCAGTTTCACATGTCAAGTTACTTCCTTGTGAGCTGGTTCCACCCATCCATCATCCATGGAGACACCTCCAATTGGAAGCTATTCCATCATGGGTCTACAACTAGGGTTTTCCCTCTGACCAGTCTACTGTGGTTCATATGGTGGAATTTCTCACCTGGCTCTTTGTTCGTGGGTCTTCGGTCTCCTTGCTTTTGGGACATCAGATGGCCTTATCCCATACCTTTAGTTTTCCCGATACCATAGAGTTTTTACTTCCCCTGTCCTTACCGTGCTTATGCATTCCTTCCATATACGTCACCCTCACAGGCAACCTACTCTTCCGCATTGGGATATTAATGTGGTCCTCCATTCCCTTACTTTACCTCCGTTTGAACCACTTTCCTTGTGTTCTGTGTTTCATCTTTCCCTTACAACATATTTCCTTCTTCCCTTAGCCTGTAGATGTCAATGGTCTGATTTGTTTGCCATTGAATTTTCATATACCCTTTATCACCCTGCCTATCTTCTCCTTTATCCAAGTCGTTCCTTTCCCCCGAAGACCTCGGCAGTTTGGGAGGGTGGTTCCTCTTTTTTTTCCCTTCCTTCCATTTCCCATCTTTAGCTTTGACTCGATCTGGATAGGCTTCTGTACCCAGTCAGGGCTGTTCGTTGTTATATTATCCATCCTGCTTTATTCCAAGGTACACTTTCCTGACTTTTTATTCCCAGGCAATCCTCCTCCCTTCGTGATCTTTCACCTTTTACCCTTACCAATTAGGTCCTTCTTTTGGTTCACTTGGCCTGTTCCTCCCAGAATTTGTTCCAGGTGTCCTCCCATCAGATCTTACACCTCACTTTTTCCCTTGCTTCTCATCTTCGTCATCCAATAGAAAAGATTCTGCATTCCGGCATGTGGACCACACCCAGTACATTCATCTCCCAGTACCTCCATCATATCATGGTGTCTTCCTTATTGGGGTTTCGCCTGCCACCTGTTGCTGTTCTTCAGACTTTGGTGTGGCTTTCTCTATTTCTTTATCCCATGGATCCTGCTCTGTGGCGAGTGGTGCCTAACCAGGTATTCTTTAACTCAAAATCTGCACTCTTCAGCCATGTTGACTCGCACTTTATCTTCCATGACTTTGCATGCTCACCTTTGAGATGAGGTGTTCCACAAGATCGCATGACCTCGTGATATTTTGTTTCATAAACATCATGCCTGTCCTAGACTGTACCACCCATGGACTGCATGGGTAAAGCAGAAGGAGATTGCTGCCCATCCCTGCCATGCCTTGAGTGAATAACTTGGTATGGTCTGCTTTTCATGACATTCCTCTGGACTCTCAACCACATTGTCACCCTCCTTTATTTGAGTGGAGTAGGGGAGTCCTTACCACTTTCCACTTCCAAGCCATTGGGGTGGTTGACCATGGAGGCACCCTGCTGAATGAGTTCCACACATTAACTATTCAGTTACAGAGTAGGGCAGTGGTGTTCTGCAGGTGTAGATGATGTGATATCTTCCTATTTGTGATAATAAATGACAACAGAGTGAGATGTCAGATTACACTTCAACTCTTCAATTGGGAACCCTCATTCTACCCTCATGTGGATGTTGGTACCCTGTGGCATGTTTTGTATATATAGTGAACCATAAGTCCTCACACAGGTTTTCAGTTGTCTATCTTCCATCCTCAATTTCATCTGTCTGTGCTGTGGGTCACAGTGCTCGTACATGGGATTGTTCTGGTTCTGTTCTTGACTATCCCTCATCCTCTCGTCTAACGGGGCTGCTATAGCCATTTGGATGGTCCAAGCTTGTTTCGTCATTGGGGGGGAGTTGATTGCATGCATGGACAATACCAGATGTCAAGTTCCCAGATCAATAGCTCAGAGCTAAACCTTGTGGTTCTCAATCCCTTGGTTCTTGGGATTGAGGTGAAGACGGTATGTACCTCATCTTACTCTTGAGTGGATGTTGGTACCCCTCAGGCATGTTTTGGAGCTAGTTGACTTACCGAGTACGTTCCACTGCATCCTAGCCACTCTACACCCAGGGTTGCTTCCTTTATTTACCCACCTTTCTCATTATGGGATTGAGTTACAGTATATTTCTATGGTTAGGATCACTTTCCTGCCACATTCTCTCCCACTTGGATGTGCTCCTCTCAATTTCTGCCTTTATATCTTACACATTCCACAGTTGGGCAAAGAGTATACCTAGCTCAGAAGTGGTGCAGTTTCCCTCTTCTGATCTTTGGATCTGAATCTCATTTCCAGGGGTATCCTTTGGACACTTTCAGGGTGTACTTCCTATACTAAAATTGTATTTCCAACAAGTACTTCCCTCCACTCACACTCCCCTTTCTCCTTACATTTCTCTGGTGCTGACATCTTCTGCCAAACTTCTAAGTGATAGTTTGTTAGAGGAGTGTAGAGGGAGTCACATCAGCATGTCATGCTCCTATTGGTGAGGAGATAACACATGATGATTTGCATGAGAGACATATGGGAATCTTACAATTCCATTGGGGTGGAGGGAGAGAAAGGCTTTTGGCATGCATAAAGAAGAAGTTTGCATATAGATGGCAGCACTGAATGGGATTAGTTAATTTTGTGGGGGGAGGTAAGTACCTATCAGAAATACATTTTCAGTGTAGGAAAATTATAACTTTCACTTGCAGAATCTCTTAAACCTCCTATATAAATATCAAACTTTTTTTTTCAGTAAAACTTCATATTTCAACTGTTATTTTCTCTACCCTAACTCTATGCATATGACCAATTTGCCTGATCTCATAACCTCCATAAAAAATACGAAATAAATCTAAATTACCCTTTTTTTCCTTCCTAGTATGACTGCAGATTGTAACAGGAAACTACATTTCTTTATTCTAAGTAGCTTAAAGCTCATAACAGTATATATCTGTTTCTACTTAGATTTTATTGTTTAATTGCCCTTTAAAACATGTCTAACTAATAGTCCCACTACACAAGTTATAAGTCATTCAATGAACATGCAGCTCATGTTACCGTATTGAATTACATAATGCATGAGCGAGAATGAAGAATTTCCTTTTTTTTACCTAGCATTAACTAAACTAATAAGTTTCAAATTTTAACATTTCATTACTTTTATAATAATAGAGTACACACAAAAAACAAGAAATATAGTACTTGCCTAGATTTTTTTTTTTGCTGTCTACTGTCAAAGAAACTTAAGCCTACTTTTTATACTAATGGTACTACCACAATAAATAATTCTTTATTTTATTAAATATTGCACCTAAGAACACAGAATAATAACACATAAAAAAGCAGACAGTGTTCTATAGCTATCATAATTTTTCTGCCTTTGTAACCATGTGATAAGAGGCTTTAAAAATTCAATTAAGCTAGTCAATGTGATTCCTGTGAAAACATATTTGAAACTGAACCAGGAAATAGACAATTCACTGTACAGAAAACAACATAATATGGTATATCATTTGATAGATTAAAACTTTGGCTTTCTATTGATTATAAATAATACTAGTGTATAGTCTGTCAAAAATAATGGAGGTTAAGAAAATTCTGTAAAAATTACTATAAATTAACTAATAAAAATTGTAGGAAGAAGGAATCATACGCTATAATTCAGAACGTAATAATAACAGGTTAGTTTTAGTGAAGGGAGATGAATGGATTTCATGATATAACTAAAATGAATGGAAGATGATATGACAAAACCTTGTCGAAACGTTGTACATTTGCTGTTATGTTAAACTTATATTAAAGTTTTTCTTCATTACCCATTCAAGGCATCTCCAACCATTACTAGTTGTATATTGATCAACTGATACTAAGGCTGTTACTTTTTTTTAGTTTCTTTTAATAAAAGAAATTGGTAAGATATTTTTCTTTCATTATTTCAATTGTTATAACTAAATATCAACTGTGTTTGTTTTTGTTTTGTTTTTTTCCAGTGGTAATCTTTTAAAGCATATGTTTGTTAATTTTGTAACCTTCAATCACAGAGATTTGGTAAATTTGTGTTGTTAGTAATTATAGTTATTATGACAAATATTTGTTTTCAGTTTGGGTAATAAACTTGTAGATGGGCTTTAGTTTTGTGCTTGAAAATTATTAGAAAAATATGACGGGCTTTTACAGGAGTAAATAAAAAGAGAGATTTAAATGTTAATGTTTATAAACACTGTTGTGCTTGTATTTTGTCTATGCTGGAAGTGGAGTTTATTCTAGATTAGTTCTAAGTGCTATAAACACACTAGTGGTTTATCTAGTGAAGACATTTTTGTTTCTAAGTTTCAGGTATTTATTGTAAATATTTCTTTTAATTTTAACTTGTGTTAAGTTCATTAGATAACCCTTGAAGAGTTTCAATCACAAATTGTAAAATCACAGACCTGTTTTAGCATAGCTGAATGTATCCATTAAATACTGCAGTCAGAACTAAAAACCATTCTGCTCTCTGCTAAAAAAAGTTCATATTTTTTTGAGGCCAGGTTAAAAACTGTATATTCAGAATCTTATAATTTGAATAATATCATAAATTTTGGACATTGATGTATACTTATTAAATCATGAACATTTGTAGTTATTGAATTTGTTCTGAAGGAAGTAACTAAGATAAACTATAAACATTAATAACATTAATATTAGAATAAAACCACAAAATGAAAATATTTTATGTCTGAGGTAAATTGAAAACAAATGGAACAGAAATGCTATATTGGTTGAATAGCTTTCTAATTTTTTATTCCAGGAACATAATGTTTAATCCCTCAGTTGAATGTCTTTTTCCAATATGGTGAATTTAAAGGACATCAAGTTAATGCCTTATGTCTTCCTGTGACTTCATTTCAGGGATAACAAGCTTCTCCATTGAATCTCTTTCTTAGTAATTATAATAAAGAAATATCTTTTAAATTGTTTGTTTAGAAAATTATCTTCTAGGTGATTAGTTTAATATTTCCATCTAGAGAGATTATAATTTAAAACATCTGTTGAATGCATTTCCCTGTTATTTTAGGGAAAATGAGCTTCTCAAGCACCAGTTGAAAAAGTACATTACTGCTGTACAAATGTTGAAAAGAGATGGAATTAAAGGTCATGAAGGTTAGTGAAAATATTATTTTATAAGTAAATCTAAAAGATTATTTTGTCATTCATGATATACAAAATAATTCTTGGTTTGTTTATGAATCACCTCAAGCTTTAACAGTTTTAAATTGTGAGCTTTTTAAATCAAAAACAGAACAAATGTAATTTAATATTTGTTTATATATCCAACAGTTTAAATATGTAACATGTAATGTATTATATGTATACATTGAAATACATCTCTGCTGCACTTTACTCCTCTTTGGTGCATATTTTAGCAACAAAACATTGTAAATCATGTTGATTTTTTATATATAACGTGAATTACTTTTTTGTCCATGAGCTTTTAACAATGTATGTCTCCAAGGTCCTTCTTGCCAAATTTGTATGTTATTTTGAGTTACAAAAAATCACCAATTTTTAACCCATGTTGGAACTTTTTGTTAAATTTTCTTTCCTCATTTTTCTGCATCATGGTTTTATTATTTGGAAATTAGGCTATTGTTGAATGCTTTAGATTTTTATATCTTATGATGATGATGATGATATTGAAGATGATCTTTCATACTTTCTTCTAAGACACTGGTTTGAAATACATATCCAGCATGTTTAATTTAATCTGGATGATGATATGAAATGTTAATTCCAACATGATTCCAGTTATAGTACATAATGTCTTCTGCTGATAATACTCTTTGTTTTTTAAAAAAATAAGATTGATTTTGGTCCTTGAACGTTTCTTCCCACTTTTCTCTTTTTTGTTTGTACCATGTTGCTGTATTCTTGTTTTTTTATTTGGATTTGTCAGAGTGATTGTTTAGCAGTTTTCTGGAAAGTTTTCATTACATCTAATGGAAAAAAAATTTCTCTCAATGGTTTCTATTGATGGGACTTATTTTTACTTTGTTTGATCCCACTCTTTGGTCTAAGAATTGCTTAAGTGAGAAAATTACTTATTTAACATGTTTTCATTACATTGTTTTGATACGGACTTGTTTTCATCACTTACAGTGAATGAGACTTTATGTTGGTAAGTACTCATGCCAATATACCTTTACATTTTAACTGGATGCTAAAAAGCTTAGATTCCTTAGCTGACTGCTGGGCTTTTACAAAGGACTGATATGGGGCAGTTTAGAGCAATTAAAGCTCCCAACTAAATGTTGCATGTATTATATTCCACTTTGACTTTCTACAGTTTCATGAATTCAACATGAAAAAGTCCTCTGTATGTCATATTAGTTGCTATATATATCTGTACTTAAGGTGTGGGCTACCTAACCCTGTCTCCTTTTCTGTTTGGAAAATGTAACTTATTGTTTAATCTGAGATATGGTTGCATACACGAGATCTACATTGTTAGATTCAGAATAATGTCTGGATGTAAATACTTTTCCTTCAATATTTCCATGTATGTTGCATATTAATAAAAATGGCATTTGGAGTACAAATGTTTTTATGAGCATTGGCATACATTTGGATATTTGATGCAGATAGAGGGTAATATCTTGAATCTTCAAAGGTTTCAGAGTGAGAGTTCACAGGATACTTTTGAAAAGTTAAGTTTGATAAATGACAGGAGAAAGGTTTTGAATAACAGTAATTAAAATGTCATCATATTGTCCAATTAGACATGATGAAACATTTGAGTTCTAGTTTCACTGTAAAAATGTTAAAATAAATTGCATTAGATTTTTAAACCAACAAGTGTCCAAGTTTTTATACCATTTTTTTGGTATTGTAAACCATGATTCTTATTTCAATCTTCTTTTGTTTGTACTTTGGTAATGTCCTTCATTTTATTGTGAAGTGTCAGGAGATCTTTTGCAGATTGCTAAAATTATCTATAATTACTATTTTAGTACTCAAAAATATGATTGGAGAGATTGAGCCAGCTGTTCCTGAACCTAAATTGTACATTGATCATCACTATGAGGCTAGTGAATATGAAAAGAAACTTGTACAGGTAATTAATTTATTTTCTTTTAATACAAAGTTAAACTCTGTATCACTTGAAAATCTGATAATCAATTTTTTATAATTGTACATGCAATAAAAGGTAGTCTACTTTCCAAAGCTCGACCAGTTTTTGTATTTATTTGTAACTTTTATATGAATTATCTAAGCTGTTTCTTATAAATTTCTACAATAAGCAGAAAGAATTTCAGATGTTATAAAAACAAAAGACTAATAATTAAACTAAAATCTAACCAAATACTATTAATTCATGTCATTAACATCTGATATTATTACTTACCTCTTCTCAAAGTTACAGCTATTCTCGACTTGACTGCCCTCTAGCATGCAACTTTTTGCTCACCACTAGCCTAGAAACTCCTACCTAATTCCACATTTATACCAGTTGGTTCAGCTGCATTTAAGCATGCAAATTAGCATGTGACAACCCTCCAGGAGTGCGACAAACCCTCCTGTCATAGCTGACTCCCTCTATGCAGTTGAACCCAATCTTCAATTCTCGATTTGGCATGACTGTGTTAAAACCTAGTGCTTGATTTCAAACATTTTATTTTTTTTAGTGCATTTTGAACATATTCAAAGTATTATTTATAATCCACTATTGAGTTGGATTTTTTAATTTTATTGTGAATTCTATTTCTCACTCAATTACTAGTAGTAGTCAATATTTTTGAATTTACTATTTACTATTATGACTACAATGGCTACCGATAGAACCAGTGTTCAGTGGCTCATGACAATAGCTACAGGTGTGGTGTTATTGCCAGAGGAAGTGTCAGCCATAGTTGATCAGGAGTTGGCTTCTTTCGTGTTGGCTGAGAGATCTCCCAATCTACAAGTAATTCTGCCATTACCTCTGGACTTAGATCAGGAATGATGTAGACTTGGACAGCTCCCCCCCCCCCCCCCATCCTATGCTGTGCATGCAAGTTCTCAGCCTGTTGAAGCACCTAGACCTTAGTCACCAATTTTTTAGACTTGATATCACAGGTATGTTATGTTTTGTCGCTCGTGTCATTTGATCTCTCCCTTCCTCATTAACTACAGCACCTAGTTCTGAATGTTGATTTTCCCCCATTGCCTGATATTGGGGTCTATGCCAAATGTTGGTATTACAAGGTCAATGGCACCTCATCATGGACTCTCTTGATTTACAGACATATCTTCCTGCTTCCCTTCCACTGGTGGTTAGACAGGGACAACATGACACTGGGGGTACCTGTTCCTCCTCCTCGTCTGGAAATTCACTTCTTCATAGATGCTTTCTTCTCAAGATGGGATGCGTGCAGCAATAGATAGGAGATCTCTGACTTAGTCTCAGGAGGAGCTAGGTCTTCACATCAACCTTTTAGAACTTCTTGCTGTTCATTGGATGATGGTTCAGTTTCTGTCATCTCTTTGGGGCATGAAAGTTATTATTCATTCAAATAACTTGATGGTTGTCTCTTGCATCATCTGAAAAGGGGGAGCATTCAATCCTGGGCCTTATGTTCCTGCACTCTAGAGCTCTCTTCTTCTGGGCTCACAGCCATCAAATTTGTTTGCTGGCTTGTCTCATCCTGACAAGGTTCTACCCATAGAGTGGTATCTTGACCTGAAGTATTCTGATGGCTATGTTCTCAGTTGTAGGCATTTGCCACTCCTTTGAATGCCAAACTTCCTCTCTTTTAGTCCCCAGTTCCATATCCTTAGGCTTTGGTCATGGATGTGTTCAGCCAGGATTGGAAGAACCTTTTCCTTTATACATACCCTCCTACCTGTCTTCTACCCTGAGTAAAACTCTCATCCAATCCACTTCTTGTTGAGTCCTTCTTGTGGCTACTTTCTGGCTGGCTCAACCGTGATTTCTGTCCCTTCTCCAGGAACTATTTCTATTACCTCTCCCTCTCTTCCAGTTCCACCTCCAGCATCCTCACACAGGGGTGCTTCATCCCTCTGTTCCCTCCGGCATCACATATGACTTTTGTCCAGTCCCTTTTTAGAGGTTTGGGACTATCCACAAGTGTAGCTTCCCTGTTGTTTTACTCTGTCCATTTCTCATCTATGTTGGTGTATCAATGTGAGTGGAGAATATTCCATTGTTGGTCAATCCAGAATGGATTCTCACCTTCCCTTCTTCAGATATCTGATTTTTTACATGGTAGTTTTACATGGGTCTGTCTGTTTCAACCATTGTGGGCTTTAGGGCAGTCCTGTCATCTACCTTTCGTTTTTCCTGTTTTTGCCATGTGTTTTCTCTCTAGTTATTTCCCTTTTAATTCAGTCTATTTTTCTAAATTGTCCTCCTCATACTGCTCAATTGCCAGACTGCAATATAAGTGTTGTTCTCTGTGCCATTTCCCTTCCTCCTCGTACTGCTCAATTGCCAGACTGCAATATAAGTGTTGTTCTCTGTGCCATTTCCCTTTGAACCACTAGCCTCATGTTTCATATATCATCTTGAAGATGTATTTTCTTCTCCTTTTGGCTTGTGGACATTGCTGATCAGACTTATTCACCATCGAAATTCACCACATTTTGCTCTAAAAATCCTATGTCCTTTTATATCCGAACTATTCCTTCCTTCCCAAAACATCATCTGTCCACAAAGGAGATTTGACCTGAATCCCCTTTTTTCCTTCCTTCCATATTCCCTCCCACTCTGATCCAGATTATCTCCTGTGTCTGGTCTGTGCTTTATGGTGTTGTATGTCACACACACACTGCCCTTTTATGCCTCTCATGCCTCTCCTGAATCTTGCCAATTGTTCTGTGTTTCATCCCATCAGATCCATCACCTTCCAATGTTCTTGGTTGCTCATTTACATTGTCCTTTGGAGGAGATTATCCGGGCCAGCATGTGGACTACTCCCCTGATGCCTTTGTGTCACATTATTTGCACTATCTAGTGGTTTCCTGCTCAGCTGTATGTCGTCTTCCCCCTGAACTCATTCTTTATACATTGGTACAATTCTGAGTGAGTAAGTTCTTTTTTTTTTCAGGGACCAACTTCACATGCTATGGATCTTGCCTGCTCTGTAGCAAGTGATGCCTGTCCAGGTTTACTGATATCCAAAATCCACACTGTGAGAGCTATAAGGTCTATCAGGTTCACTTTTGAGATAGGATGTACCATAAGACTGCTTGCCGGTTCTTCCTCTCAGTATATTGCATCATAAATATATTTGTACTGGACTGTACACTCCTGGACTAACATGAGTAAAGCAGAAAGGGATTGCTGCCCATTTCTAACATTCCTTAGATTGCCATAGTCAGGAATAGTCTGCTTTTCAAGATATGGTTTCGTGGTCACCCATTGCACTTTTTCCAGTGATGAGTTTTTGTAGACTCTCCAATGATTTTCTTCCCCATCTTCTTCCAGTGGAGTACAGGAGTGCTTACCTCTTACCAGCTCCTAGTCACTGGGGTGGTGGATCATGGAGAAATCCTCCTGAATGTGTACAATTCCACTCAATCAAGAGTAGGCCAGTGACATTCTGCCTGTGTGACTATCCTCCTGACACGGGTCTGCTGTTTTATTCCAGATGCCTCCAGTCTGGACTGGATTTTTCCATCTATTTTGCAGTTTGCCTCTCTGGCTGGGAACACTCCCTCCTACCATCATCTGGATGTTGGTTCCTAGGTGACTGGTTTTGATTGGAGCTGGATCTGCCAACACAAGTCCTCACATGTGAGTGGGCTAGGAACTTCCTCCTGTCATGGTCTGGATGTTACATTCCCAATGCCAATTGGTTTTGGACTGGAAATGACCCTCCACGTTGCATTTCCAACTTTCTGACATTGTCTGGATGTCCATTCCCAGGGTTTCTTGCTGCAGGTTGTGCTGAATTTGCATACAGGATGGTTTAGGTTCTTGGAACAGAAGCTCCTCTTCTCTTCTGGGTTTATATACCTCAGGTGAATGGTTTAGGACTCTCCTTTTACCATGAAGTGGTTGAGTTCCTCTCAGTGCCACTGGTTTGGATTGGAATTGACCTCCCACTTATGGTCCAACGGGCCTTAGCCACTCTTCCTTAGGGATTTGGAATTGTTACCTTGTTCTGCCCTTTGAGCCTGACACCACATATAGAGAGGGCTCACTCCATGGGTACTCTTCAAATGCTTTTGAAGGGTGCTGAATATGGGATTCTAGCTGTAACTGTGAGAGGAGGTAAGTAATCATATCAGAAGTTAATAATTTCCTACAATGAAAATATATTTCTGTTAGATACCTTTTCTCACACTTCCCACCCACCCTCCTCACTTCCGGTGTCATTTTTCTTCTCTATTCTCAAAATGAAGATTGGGTTCAACTGCATGGAGGGAGTCAGCTGGGATAGCATGATTTGTCATGCTCCTGTTGGTGGAGGACTGTCACGTGCTAATTGGAATGCTTAAATGCTGAACCACATGGTATACATGTAGAATTATTTGGGAGTTTCAAGGCTAGTGGCAAGTGAAAATTTCCACACTAGAGGGCAGTCAAATTGAGAATAGTTGTAACTGTGAAAGAAGATAAATATTTCTCAGAAATATATTTTCAGTGTAGAAAAATATTAACCTCTGTATGAAGTAGTATTAAACATGGCTGTCTAGGGTAGAATTATTTAGTTGTTAAAGTTTAGTTAAAACAATATTTATAAGTAGAATTGTGGGAACATTTCAGCAATACAAGTAATACATGTATTAGTAAAATAAACATGAAGAGGTGAGAATCGAACCCATGCTAGTCAGAGTTGTTGTTTTAACCCTCTAAAGCTTACTTCTCATATTTTTTTTATTTTTTGTAAGAATGGATTGATGTATTTTACATGTTTTTAAGTATACAAGGATGAAAACTGTGATATGTCTTCCATTTTTGGCTACAAACCTAATGTACTAACTTCAAAAATTCAGAATTTCTCTAAAGATATGTACTTTCCTTTCAAAATTACTCTTTTGATTACAGATCTTCTTCAAAACTTTGAATTCATCTTTGCTATTTAAAAAATATCCTTCATTGCTCAATTGAGGTTGACTAGCTTTGGGAAACTCCCCTAAATGATAATTTTGTTTTTGTAATAGGTTTCATTACTTCATTCTCATTTCAGTACATTTGACAAGATAGATGAGTTGAATATAATTATTACTATAGTTCTTAAGGTTTGAGCATGGTGTTTATTCATAAATATCATTGGCTTTTATTACACACACAAATATTGTGCAATCAAATTCAGGAAGAAAAAGTTATTGAGATTTTCAACTTGGAAACAAAATATCTTTTTAACACAATCGCCACAGGCTCAGTCGAATTGACTCTTTGCACTACAAAGATCTCCCAGGATCTCTGTTTTCTTGGCTCCGGACTCTTTTGGGCTCACAGCCATTACATTCAGTTGTTGATCTATCATTTCTCAAAAGCTCAGGCCCTGGTAGTGGATCAATTATCTCACTTAGACCTGGACTATTCCCACATTGTGGTTTCTTCATCCTCTGGTTTTTTCAGTGGCTTTACTCCCACTATGGGCATTCTATCATCACTGTCTTTCCACCTCTGTTTCACTCCTTATTTCAACTCATATGGTAGCCAATCTCAGACTCTACAGCTGTAGTTGAGGATGCTCTTTATCTCATGTGGTTCAACCTCCTTTTATATGCTCTCAACAATTTCTTACCCTTTTCCTTTGCAGGAGACATCACTCACTTTTGTCTTGGTCTCCTCCTGCACTATTTACTATAGTGACAGGCTCATATTTTTCCCTAACTGCCCCAAACATGGGTAATTTAATGTTTTCTCCATTCATTCTCTCTTTCCTTTGTTCCTTGTATGATCATTCCTACCCAGCTCACCCCTTTTGTTTTGTGTTATATATTCATTATTATATCACTCTTACTAGCATTTGCCAATATCTTTTCTTACTATGGGATCCCTCTTTCTCTAGTAACTTATCGTCTTTCACTTTGCCTTGTTTGGTTGTACACCCAATCTGGCTTGTTTCTTCTTCTATTGGTGATAGCCTTTTTCATATTTTTCATGTCTCCTCCAATCATGTTTGTCATCTCATGGCTTCTCTTGCCTCTAGCCATCCATGTCACATGTATGAGATCTTGCAGGTGGGGATGTGGATGACCTCGGATACATTAGTGTCCCCTTACTTACACCACAAAGAAGTTCCACCTACTTTTTCCTTTATTTTTCAGGTCTAACGATGTGTAATGTCTGTGGGGAAGTACAGAAAGTATTAAGTCTATCTGCCACTGCTCAGTGTTTGCTGTTGAGATGTGGTTTTTGCAAGATTGCTTTGGCAGTGTCTATACATTTTATCTTCCAGGTCGTTCTGCACTTCTGGAAAATAAAATAAAAATTATAACATCAGGTGAGTGTCTGCCCTCACACCTGGCTTATGTCTTCTGTCTTTAGTCACAGTAACCATTCGCACTGTCTCTCAGTATGAGACCTAATTGCAGTGACTGTTTCTGATGACATGATCGTGCTTCCCCAGTACCAAGCTGCAGGGAATGTTGATATAGAGAGTTCCTCATCAGGTGGAACAATCCCTCTGCATGGCTGAGTGGATGCACCCTCATTTGGGAAGTAGGTCTTGGATGTTATCTGTAAGTGTAATAAAGGACATCCCACTACATATTGAACTAAACCATTCCAGATGGGTCTTGGGTTTGCCTTGGGACTCGGGTCTGGCATGTATCTTCCTGCACCTGATTATTGTGTTAAATATCTTGCGTACATATTTCAGAGAGTAATCCCTGCTTGAGATTGTTGTGGTTTGCTGCCAAACTAGGATACCCCCACCTCATGAATGTTACACTCCTTGGACTTTCCCTTTCTGATGCTGTTTTCTGAAAGTAGCTCATCTTTGTAACTTGTTTCTCTGCACCAGCCCCTCTACCATCTTCAGTGTGGGATTCTAGCTCTTTGTGGTGCAGAGAGGCGAGTAACATTTCTTAAGTTAATATTTTCACTATCTGAAAATATATTTTACGTACATACTCACCTCTCTGTACCACCTCTGCTTCAAGCACATTTAGTTTGCCATTTCAAAAATGAGCTTATATTGAAATGCTAATTCTCATGAGGATTACTGTGCATGGAGGATGTATCCCCCCTCCGATTGATGGAGGACTATAGTCTAATGATGATTACCTCATAGGCTGCCACAATGTACATTGATACGTATAGGGGTGGGAGGGTACAGGGCCTGAGGCGAGTACTCATAGTTAGGTTCTTCAGTTTGGATACTAGAAACAATCAACCTGTAAGGAAAATTTTAATTTTTAACAACTTGTTAACCATGAAAAGAATTGATTTCTGATTGGGGGGGATTGCGAGTGCAGTGAACTTTTATATCTTCTGCTAAGAGACTTGAGGGGTGTTAGTTTCTAATGCAGCAGAAGTTTAGTCGACATATAATGATGCTTTGGTTAAAAAGAAGGAGTTTTGGTGCAGCTTAGCATACACTGACTTCAACTAGAAAGATATTTTTAAATATTGCTATAGAATAATTTGCTTCTAGTTCTGAAAAAAGGTTATTAACTAACTAGCAAATGAAGGAATATCTTTTGTTTTGCAACATTGTGATAGTTTTTATTCTAATATGGGGTGATTGTTGTAATGCCTGGGGATCTTTTGATGTGAAATGTTTTAATTATTTGCTTTACTATGATATAATAGTTTTATATATATATATATAATTATAATGAATTTGTAATTTTGTGAACTTGATATGCTTATGCCATTTAAGATTTTGGTTTTTTGTTTAATTGGCTAAAATGCTTGGGATATTTGTTGTATTTTTTCCATGCTATAAGAAATTATATTCTTAGATTAGATGCTTGTAGTGTATCAGGAGCTTTTAGAATTTAATGTTCTGAGTTATAGTACATATTTGTATCCTGGATTTGGGAACAGAAATGCGTGTGAAATTTATAGTGTTTAATTTTTCTCTGCTTTAATTCATGAATTACTCATGGTTTAAGCAGTTAAAGTGTATAAGGAACTTTTAGACATTAATGTTCTTAATACAAATAGTAAACTTTAATTTAATTCTCGATGTGGAGGCTAAAGTGCATGGAAAAACGTTTAAAATGTTATGTTTCTGTTCTATGATACAAGTTTGATCCTGTTTTTAGGTGGCTGAAATGCATGGAGAACTTTTAGAATTCAATGAACAACTACATCGTCAGCTTGTACAACGGGAAACTACTATACGTCGACTACGAGAAGAACTAATAGATTTACGAGGACCTGTGAGTAATTCTTTTGCAAAGATCATTTAAAGACAAGTTAACTGCAGATGTTTTTTTGTTTTTTTACATACCTTTTAATTTGTTTGTTGTGGCTCAAAATCAGAGGCTCGTAAAAAATAACATTTCAGATCTGTCTCCTGTAAGTCACTACCCAAAAAGTTTATTCTTCAATACCAGAACTCATCATTTGGGCTGGATAGTGAGAGCCAAAAGATTTTATGAAGTGCTATTTAGGTATGCAGTTTAATATTTAAATGTTACAGTTTAAATTAAGAGGAATGAGAAAATTAATCTGTAGTTAACTTGTTTTATAATAATTTTAGGCTTATTTGTCTGTTTCAAAGAGTTTTATTTGCTGATAATGTTATCATATTATTCAGTTGTTCAGAAAATCAAAAAAATGCTTTCTTCTGTACAGCATATTCATGGCTTTTTAAGTGTCACAAAGTTTGATTGTTTACAATTTTAAGTAGTGAGTGTATAGCAGTTAATTTATAAAAAAAATTAATTAAGAATACAAATTATTATATTAAAGAGATGAAAAAACTACTTGGATTTACTTAATAAATTTAATGTCAATGACATATGAATAGAATTATAATTTCACATTTTTTATGATCATTTTAATTTGTGTTCTACATTAGCTAAACTTAATTGCATTTGTAGTAAAAATTATAACCTAGCATCTGCATAGATTTTTTGTTGAAGAACACACAAAATATATATTTTTTCCGGAAGGTCCACTGTAAATACAGTTTTGTAATATGTATTATTATAGTTTCCAGAAGAAAATCAGACATCGGATGATGACGTCAGTGTAACTTCTGATTATGATGCGTAAGTTTTTTACTCTTTATTTTAGGGATATACCACTGTCAATATAGAGTTGAATGCTGTCTTAGAAATTGAACCTAAATGACATGATGTTACAATATTTGGATAAAAATATTATGGTTAATTTTCAGTTAAAATATCAGTGACTACAGTGATTAGGGTCACGCAAACTAATTCATTAATCAAAAGTAGTATTTCTGTTTATTACTGTTTTTTATTATTCCAACAGTTGATTAAATGAAATTTTGATAATATTGATTTCTTGAAAATAACTAATTGAAATTAGTATTTTTGATTATATTGGTTGTCATGAAAATAGTCAACTAATCAAAATTAGTGCTTTTGATTATATTGATTGTCATGAAAATAGTCAACTAATCAAAATTAGTGCTTTTGATTATATCGATTGTCATGAAAATAGTCAACTAATCAAAATTAGTGTTTTTGGTTATTCCAACTATACAAATAATCAGCATATTACTACCAAACTTGTTCGTTTCATCTTTGTTGTGGCAAATCTACTAAGACTGACTAGTTGGCTTGAATCACCTGCCAACAACTATTTTTCTTTCAGTTTGAACTGCTGACCTGAGGAAAGGCAACTGGTTGTCATCTCTTGCCACCAACTTTTGTTTTTTTGGCTTGTATGTAGCATGGTTTGAGAAATGCTACAAATCTAGTGTAATTGATTAATGGAGCCATCAATTGATCAATTAGGAAATACCATCCAGCTTTATTTAGAATTATGAAAAGTTAAGCTATACCACTTTGCAAACAGAAAGTTCTAGTCTAGTTACTGTTTCATTAGAAAACAACTTAATTACATATATTATTTGTTTTAAATATAAATATACATTATTACAATATTGTTGAATTCAAATTGAAATTTTAATTTATGAATTAAAATACTGACTGGTCAATTTAGTATGTTTTAAATAATGGGAAGACCATTTGCCATTCATCAGTTATTGGTCTCACAGTATTAATATGTTAATTATGAATAAATCATGTCTAGTACTACTTAAAATTACATTTTACAAATGACAGCCGTGAAATAGTAATATCCTTTATTCTAGTGCCCTATGAACACATTGAATTTTTGAGATGATAAATTTTTACTTTTGAAAAGATAGAGAAAAACAAAGATTAGTGAGTAAACTTTTTCTTTTAAGTGACATTTTTGTTTTATTCAATGAATGCAAAGAAAAGTGAGAAGTCTCTTTAAAATACCTTCTTAGTTCAATAAGTGCAAGAAGGGAAGAGCAACAAAAATTAAGAAAGCTGTTTATTGAAATTACATTGATCATTTAGCGAGTACAGAAGAACTGAGAAGTTAGTGTTTAAAATAATTATTCAGTAGAGTTTGCACATCCACAGACTGAGGCCACAAATATTTTGAGTGAGCTTTACTTCTAACTTATGGCTACATTTACATTAAACAGAAAATCTGATAGATTAACACAGTCAGTAGAACCAGAAATTGACCAATAAGAATTTTGGAAGAAATATATATATTAATCTATTATTCCTCTAAAATCACATATAGTCAAAAAGTTACATTCAAAATTTAATTAAACAACTTTATTATCAATGTATTTCAATAAAATTTCACATCAAAATGTAATTTATAAATCAAATTTTGATATTATATATGTGTTATTTTAATTTCAAAACGAAATATTTAAGTAAATCCTCGTCTTCACTTCTCTATATCACATGATACTACTTCACTCCAAATTGCCAATTTCAGAATTTCTTGTTTCCCATGGATTACACACTTATATTGTCAGTACATTTGAGATAAAATATAAATTTTTAGTCTATGCTTCTTACTTTACCAAGATGTATACAGTGAAACCCACATGCCATACCCCTCCGAGCACATCCAGTCTTTCCAAAAATGTCTGTAATTCTCTTTAACATTTGCCATTGGATTATTTCTAACAGTTAAAAAAAGAAGATTCTAATTTACTAAATGATACAACACTACAATTGTTCAGATGATAGGTTTTGAAAAATTCTTCATTTGTTTCATTGTTCTTAGTCATTGGAGCTCAGTTCGACCAGCTATTGGAATTATTTTAACCCATTTATAGTTTAGTTAGAAAGTCAGTTAAATTATTTTAGTTTTTGGGTATTTTATTTTTTATGTATGGTAATATTTTGTACTCTAAATGGCATATGTGAATTTGAAAAAAAAGTGAAATAACTAAACAATAGGCCTAGTGCATGACAGATAACTTCTGTGTGAATCCAAAAGCTTGCAAAAGACAAGATTCTAGGCACAAGTATTAAATTTCTTGTTTTTATGTATTTTTTCCTTTATTGTTATAAAAGTAAATAAGATGTAAAAATCAGAAACTTATTAGATTAGATAAGAAAACTTAAATGACAAAAATGTAAAAATACAAATTTCTTGCAATACTCTATTGTAGCAAGCACATGTTGTGAGGTATGATTGTAATTCAACCAAGGCATGCTTGAAACTCAATCATTTGTTTACACAAGTCAGTCCTGTGTAATAAATAGCTTTCACCTACACTGAGAAAGGACTAAGTACAACTACAAAGAAATACTAAATGAAAATTCTGTTAGTTTTGGCTGTAAGAATATGTAGTTTGTACATGTAGTTTTTACAGTCATTCTAGAAAGAAAAAAGGGTATTTTAGATTTATTTTATATTTTTTGCTACATGGTGGTTACAAGGTTGATCAAAATGAGTGATCCCACATACAGAGGATTAAGCAGATTTCAAGAAACTAAAATCTTTAGTATTCCTTTCAAGTTAGTTAATCATGATTTTAAAAAATACTGCATGATAAAGAATGCCCACATATGCACATGCACATTTTGTCCACAGTTATATTTTACATTATGAATGCATAAGTGTTTTTGTTTTTTTACATTCCATTTTACAGGAGTTCCCAGTTAGCAATTTCACGACCACTCATTAATATCTGGATTCCTTCTGCATTCTTGACAGGAAGGTCATCTGATGTTCACCACGTCTACCAGGTAATATACACATATAAATGTAAAGTGAATCATATGGTAAAAATTTAAAAATTGGTGTTTGATGAAGGGATGTGGAAGCTGCTTGAAGATCATCTGATATAAAGTAGTGGTAAAAACTCACCAAATTAAAATAACTTTATTAATAAAACAAGAAAATGACGTTTCGGACAACAGCCCTTCATCAGGTTACCAGTGGCAATGAAGCTGTTAATATAAGGATTAGGTTGAAAGAACAAATAATACGTGGCTCGAGGGCTCAAGAACATGTTCCTGAAGCTACAAATGAGGTAAAGGAAGTAACATATAAAATAATAAATTAATAATAAAAGTAAACAAATTTTATAAATGAAGTTAATCGTAGTACATAAACAACAAAAAAGAAAATGTAGAACAAAAATACAGGCAACAATGTAAGAAAATGAATGAAAACGTGGTAAAAATTGAAAAATTGATGTTTGATGAAGGGAAGTGAAAGCTGCTTGAAACTTTGTGATCTTCATATGCTTCAGTGAATGATGAAAAACAGAATAATAAAATCTGTGATGAAATGTAGTCAAGGAATTGTATTGCAATAGCTTGGAAAGATATTCAATATTGTTAATGCACAAAAGAATGAATTAACAACAGGGCTGAAATGAGTGAATATTTGAATAATGTACTAAATTTTAAGGGCATTAGTTATGTTAAGATTTTCATGCTGTGCAATATTTGTTATTATTAAGACCTGCAAGCTGTATAGAGTGACTTAGGTGCTGTAACAATGCAGTTAGTGGTGTTTGAGTTTGATATATGCTATAATTTATTTATACAAGTTTATAAACAAGCAAGGGAATGTCATACTTTTATAAAAAAAATTTTTTAAATTTAAGGACAGAGTTTGCCCTATTGACCAATTTACTTAATGTTGAGAGTTTGAGGTGATTTATAAATTTAATTAGTGTTAAGAATTACATTTGGTATGAATACCATACAGTCTAGATGAATGGGATTTACTTAACTTCTTTATTATGACTATTTTTAAATGTTCTATATGTTAACAAGTATTTACAATTTTTGAGTTGCTGTATCATGTTTTAACCCAGGAAATGAAGACTCCCATTTGTTCAGCTTCTTTTCCTCATTTTCAAAAATAAATGGGATCATCACATAATTTTTATAAGATGTGAAATTATACTGCAAACATGTTGAAAATCAGTATTGCAAATTTAAAACCCTGTGTATACGACAGAATGAGGCTTTGTATATAAAGACTAGGATACAGTCTCTTACTTTTTTACTTTAACATCAAAACTGGATGTTTTGTTAGCTTTATAAAATACTGATGTGTATAAACAGATAGGAATTGTTTCTTAAAAAAAGAAACATTTTAAAGTTATTTTAGGAGAACAAACTGTTCTTAGCCCTAATATTTTGTATTGAGGATTTTACTACATACAAATTTTGAGACTTAAGAAATGATCCAAGGAATAACTAGTAGAAGGATGCCTGTAAATCTATATTGTCAATCATTGGAATATACATTTTGACTTGATTTTAGTTAAAGCAAACTATTTAAAGTCTGTTTGTTTTTTTATGTAGGGCACATGCTTGTACTAAAAACATGCACTGGAATTGTCACTGCCACTAAGTTACACAACACTAGCAAAATACTTTGTGTTGGTAGTTTTTGCTAAGTAATTGCATTAACATTTTAACAATTTGCTGTTTAACAAAAAAAAAGTTACCATTACTATCTGTAAATTGCTACAACTTAAAATTTTTATATGCACTTAATATGTAATTTAGGAATTGGCACTTTCAAACATTATTTATCAGGCAGTTTTTAAAATTTGTCACTTTAAATCTCTTTCTTAATCTAAGCGAAATGTTTTGTGTATGATAGTTATTTTTTCTCTAAAAGAACAGAAGCCCCACCCAGTGGCTCAGCAGTAAGTATAAAGTCTTATACACATCCATATAGTAGAAACTTCACAAAAAACTGACATTACTGCAAATAATTAGATTCTACAGCTCTTGTTTGTTAGATCATAAAATATCATAAAAAACCTCCTATACTAATTTACTGTGAGGTTTGTTTACAATGGTG